CCGGCCTCCGCCGCCGCCAAGGTTTCTCGGTTTGGTCCCGGCCCTCGGCCCCGCAGTGCGTTCCGGCCGCGCGCTAGCGCTCTCTCGGGCACCCAGCCCATCGATTACACGCGCAGACGGGCGCTGCAACTTTTCTTTTCAACCTTCCTCGCCTCTCCCCGCAAGGCAGAACCCTAACCCCGACTTGCCTGCCCATTTCTCACCTCTGAAATTGTTACTCCAGATGTATCTCTCTTCCTCCGCCTTCTATCCCTTGTGCTGAAGGAAGCTCTCGTTTAGCAAAGGGATGTGGGGTTTCATCAATGATTTTCTCTTACCCCCTCATTGTGTTTTTCCTACATGTAGACGTGCACAGCAGTACCGTGGCTAGAAGCTGCTGACACAAGCAGCTAAGGACATGGGGGTGAGGGGAGAGGTGGTCCCCAGCCAAGATCTCTGAAGGATTCTCCGTGTGGCTGTTTCTCTCAAAGATTGCAGCTCACCTGGGAATGAAGACCAAGAAGCTGTTTAACGTGAAAGCCGTGCAGCTTTTCAACTACAGAGAGGAGTAAGAGCTGAGCGGTAAGGTTGAGTTGAGAAAAATCTAATGCAGCAATCGACGAACCATTCATTGGCCTTTCCAAGAGAAGCATTATCATTGCCAATACATCACTTCGCCATAATTAATAAAGGAGCATTGCACCAGGCCCTTGCTCTCTTGACAGCTCATTCATCCTTACAAATCCTTAATGACTTGGCAGGATGAAAGGCTAGACCCACTGTGGAGTTCACAAACCTGGCCCCACATCAGACACACCTGGGAAGCTTGTTAAAAATGCAGATTTCAGCGTCCCATCTCCAGACTCTGATGTTGAAGTTCTCAAGAGAGACTCCAAGCTTGTGTGTTTAAAGCCCCCGTGGACATCCACCGCTGGTGTAGTCTGGGCGGTTGGGGATGGGGTGGGGTAAGGGGCAGCTGTATGGAGAAGGCGAGAGGAAAAGAGCACCAGGGAGAAAGTTCAGTCCTTAGCAGGGTTCTCCCCGCTACTTACTGTCAGTTCTGTGGCAGCCAGGCCACGGGGGAAAGGAGAATCTGACTCTAGGAACCCCACAGCTTGAGTATGAGGCCAGTGGCTCTCAAGACCCTGCCTGCACTTCAGAATCTCCTGGGGAGCTTTTAAAACTCCCAGTGCTTAGGCCACACCCCAGACTGATTAACTTGGAATCTCTAGGGGGTAGGACCCAGGCAGCAGTATTTTTTTCCTTTTTCTTTCTTTCTTTCTTTCTTTCTTTCTTTCTTTCTTTCTTTCTTTCTTTCTTTCTTTCTTTCTTTCTTTCTTTCCTTCCTTCTTTCTTTCTTTCTTTCTTTCTTTCTTTCTTTCTTTCTTTCTTTCTTTCTTTCTTTTTTTTTTTTTTTTAAGATTCCCCGGTTGATTCCTACAAGTAACCGAGGTTGAGAGCCACTGTTCCGGGCCACTAGCCCTCAACCTTGAATGTGCATTTGAATCTAACCTAGGGATTGCGGTTTCTTATGCAGGCCTAGGATCTGCATTTCTAGCAAACTTACCAGTGGTGTTGGTACCGCCTGAATGAGGACGGTGATTTAATTAACAAGGGTGTTCTGCATGGATCTAACAGTCAGGGGTGCACAGCTTCGCGGAGGAAACCAAGCTTCTTACCTCGTATGTTCCCAGGAACCATTCTCCCCAAGCAACATTGTCCTTGCCTTGCTAGAAGTTAAAATGTTCTTGACTCTCCACAGACTTTTTGTTAGACTGCACTGACTAGTGGGTGTAAACAGAATGACATGTGGGGAGACACAGAAGGTCACTACCTCTGTGTAAGAGTATGTCCTTAGCCAAAAATTACTTAGGGTACTGATTTCAAGGGAGTGTGAGAGGCAGACGTTTGGCTCACACTCAATGAAAGGGACTTGGAGAGAAAAGCGGCTGCTTTCTAAATGACACAGAGCAAAGCATGTAACTAAAGACTCCACCCCCAGGAAACAGGAACAGGCTAACTGAAGGACACTTTTTTCCCCCAATCTAGTCTTTTTTTTTTTTCCCAATCTAGTCTGATAGTAGGTTAATTTGAATTTTGGGGAGAAAAAATCTACATTAAGGTCCTCTCTTTACCTAATGCCATTAAAAGGCAGCCTAGGACCCAGTGATTTGGCACCCTTTTTTGATTTGGCCCCATTTCTGAATACTAAATTTTTTTATTCTTCTTCTTCTTATTTTTTTTTTTTTTGCCTTTTATTTCTCATTAAAGGCATCTTTACAGGGGTTCCAGGGCCCGAAGGCAAATCAAACCTTTTGCTCCCTCCAAAATGTCATACATGACTGGATTTTTATTGCAAGAATTATCAAAGGCTACATCACTGGCACAAGGCTTAAGGTAAGGAAATTGAGTGGTTTCTGCAGGCTGTGGCTTTGGAAAGAACTATTGTATGTAGGAAGGTGGTGATTTACATTCCAATGCCAATAGTATTTCTTAATTGTAATCTTGAATATGGATTTCCATTCTTTTCATTGAGCTTGGTTATGGATTGCTAATGTTATGTATCCAAAGCAGTATGGTATGACTGTCTGGGGACTCCACAGGGAAATCACTAAGATTTGATATATTCTCACGATGGTTCTGATTTTCATGAACCAATTCCCTTCCAACCTTCAGGAGATCTTTTAGCAAACTTATTCTCAGACCAAGTATAAATGTGAATAGGCCCTATTTTTTCATCCAGTCTACAGAGCAATTGGACATATGATCAGGGCTACCAAAATTTGTTTTTTAATTTTTTTTTAACACGTATTTATTATTGAGAGACAGAGAGAGACAGAGCAGGAGGAAGGGAGGGGCTGAGAGACAGGGAGACACAGAATCGGAAGCAGGCTCCAGGCTCTGAGCTGTCAGCCTAACGCGGGGCTCGAACTCACAAACCGCGAGATCATGACCTGAGCCGATGTCGGATACTTAACCGACGGAGCCACCCAGGTGCCCCCAAAATTTGTTTTTAATGTTTAATATTTTACTAGAACCCTCAATAATCTTTCCTCATAAGGAAAACAAGTACATGAGTTGTATACAAGTACACAAGTATAAAAAAGTAAACAAATTGTAATATTTTTCATTTTTACTTTGAATCACTTAGGGCAGAGGTACCATTGTTGTTTTTCTAGTCTTGGGTCTTCTCCAGGGCATGAATTTGGAGCCAGTTGGAGCCAGTCATTCCCCGCCTCGTTTCCTACTGTGCTGGCCTTCACACTCAACTACCTGCTCATTCTTGGGCTTAGTCTGATACAGATTTCTGCATAAGAAACAAATAGTATAGTCTCCCGAGCCTAATCAGCAAGCAGAGCTTAGCCTTGGCCACTCTCCCACATCTAGGAACTTCAGGTGGACCACTGGCAACATATGTGCTTTGGGTTTCCTTTGGAAACAGGGCTTTGATTCAGGGATGACTGCAGGGACTTTTTGTTGACTTCTAAGTGCTATCGTTCCTCCTCACTGAGATCTTGTTCCTGCAAGTAAACTTCTACTTCTCTGTTTTGTTTTGACTAGTTGAGCACCACCCTGTGAATTCCATCCAGTAAGTGGACCCTGCTGCTGGGTGGGAGCAACCTCCCCAGTAGACTCAAACTTATAACCCATAATTCCTTCATTGGCAGATCGCCTACTTCCTCTGAACGGCTCACAGTGTTTGGATCAGGGACCTGCACTTCCACATTTGAGCAATTTATAGTCAAGGATTGGGCTTGGACCAAATCCTGACACTTTTGTTCTCCATTTCTGCACCTTATTACATTAAGGATATTACCTAGTCAGTGTCCCACAGTTTTACCAATGATAAGGTGACCAATGAGTAACTCCATGGCAGAATCATTAGCTAGAGCAATTAGTGGATCAGTAAAGAACAGAAACTGGTTAAGAGTTAAGGATTTGGGGTCAGAATATCTGGGTTTGAATCTCATCACTGGCTGTGTAGTCTTGCGGAAGTTCTTTATCCTCTCCAAGTCACAGTATCTTTGCCTGGAAAATCTAGATGGTAAAAATATCTTTAAAGGAGCCATAGGAAGGATGAAATGTATATAATATGCTTGACATAGTTCCTGATCGTAGTAATTATTTAATAAACAATGCCGATGTTATACTATTGTTGGTAAAGTTCCATAAAAATGATATTCATAAAGTAAGAAAAAAAATGTCTATATAATTGGGTTCTACATAATCAGGCCATCTCATTATCAATAATGATCACGCTATCATTTGCACTATCCAGAATTCTATACAATAAATAAATCCAGGAAGACGGATGCTCTACAGTAGAAGAGTACTTTCATTCACTGTAATGAAAGAAGCTGTTGTGTACTTTCCAATTTTGTCTTAAGTACAGAGTGTAGTTATATGTTGGATAAAAGGGGCACCACATTTGTTATATTGGTTTGACACGATTTCAAATCCACTTGTTTATGACAAAGACCAAAAAAAAAAAAAAAGTTGCTTTTAGAAGTAAAGTTGTTCTGATATAAGAATGAAGGAAATTGTGTCAGGATATCATCATCTCATCTCTTCTCACCAATAAGAACTCAGCAGCTCAGCTGCTGAGGGCCCCCGTGAGGCTTCTGGATAAAAACACACAAAAAACAACTAAGGCAAATGGGCATTTAGACTATAAATACCGGAGAGTTTGTAAGGACTATCTGAGAGTGTTCAGTCTGGGCAAGGCGACTCCTTGCTCACCTAAAATAGCTCTCCAAAGACCTTGGGGCATTAGCTCCTGCCTTGGTAAAGGCGATTCTTACTGGCAGTGATGAAAACCATCCAGCAGCCCTTGCAAAGATCATCTTGCCCATCAACACCAGAACTACTGTTCCCTAGCAGCGTGGTCTAGCAACAGGGAACTTTTACTTTTGCACTGACAGCTGGACATCAGCTCGCAGTGGGCTAACCCATCTCTCCCAAGTGCCAACTCCTATAAAGGTACAACTGAAGTGAATGTGGACTTTATTCCTTTCCTTTCCTCTTGCCTGGAACAATAGTGTGGTTAATCAATCATCGATTTGGAGTGTATTATTTCTTCATTGGAGGCATGTTATTCTTTATTAAGAGGCATCCTGTATGCTATTGACTTGTGACATTCCCGCAGTGAATCTGCTTCAAAGAAATATCTGGCAAAACAAACTCTGTCTCTGGGCACTAATTTGCTTTCCAAAACAAAACAACATTCTTACTGGATCACAGTATTTCTTTTCCTTTAGGTCTGGGTATTAACTTGATCCCATCTCTGTGATAATCTGAGGGTATGATTTCCAATAGAGTCATTTTATTTTTTTTAATTTTT